ACTCCTTTTCGACTTATATGTATACCTTGACCAAGGATTTCGTTATTGACTTAATTGAACGAAATGCAGATCACAATCCATTACTAACTAAGAGTGACGAATCCTCTATTGGTCATTCACAACCTTCATATGGTTCTTGACATACCCGAACGATATCGTATTAGCAGCCCTTGGCAGAGCAACATCCAACACCATCAAAGTATGACTGTCCTCATACAAGGCACTATAATGACCTCAAGTTATAGGACCAATTCCACTACCGAACGTTAGAGATTAACCATTAACACTCAGATAGTTATCCATGTGGAATCTCTTAGCGGGTCTCCAATGTATTGTTCTATAACAAAACATCCACGTGTTCATTTAAGTGTAACCACACTTTACCTCATGAGATCAGCTACTTACTTCACAAGTAAGAAATGCCACACATGGTGGTCTAACTGTATTAACGATATCCGTATTCGTTATTACTTATGACCATGGTTTATTCAAGATCCAATTATACGTAATTTGTATCTCACAATCACAACTCCTTATGATTAACAAATCACTTAAACTTGGATCTTCGGATCCTATTATTAATATTATTTATCACAAAATTAATTTAAATAAATAATAGATCTTGCCAAAATTAAATGCATTAAACATATTAAAATCGTTTACAACCTAAATCGATTGGATCTAGGGCATAACACTTACAAACTCCCACTTGCACTAGATCCAATAACTCATGTATCTTATACATAAGTGTCAACATGACGATCATGTTTCTGTTGTGACAATGGCTTTGTCAGTAGATCTGCAATATTGTTATCTGTGGGAACTCGCTCTATCGTTACGTCATTTCTTTGTATAATCTCCCTGATGAGATGATATCGCCTTAGCACATGTTTGGATCGTTGATGAGACCTCGGTCCTTCGCTTGTACGATGGTTCCATTGTTATCACAATACAAAGGTATGGGATCAACAATGCTAGGAACGACTCCAAGTTCATTAATGAATTTCTTGATCCAGACAGCTTCCTTCACTACTTCAAAAATAGCAATGTACTCGGCTTCTCTTTTTGAATCAGCGGTTGTCTCCTGTTTGAAACTTTTCCAAATAACTGCTCCATTGTTGAGAGTAAACATATATTCTGATTGATCTCACCTCTCACATAACCCTTCTGCTTATCCTTCTTTTTGGGACAATCCCTAATAAAGTGTCCAGACTTACCACAACTATAACATTGTCTACCACTAGACTTGTCTTGTCCCTTGCCCTTCATCTTACCACTTTCATCACTCGAATCATTACTCGAATCACCACTATTTTGAGCTCTACCAAATTCATTTTCTTAAACTTCATCCCACTCCTTATCATGTGAAACTCACCACTCCTCTTATCTTTATTTTCAGCCTTCATTTCCATCTCCTTACTCCTAAGTGAGTCTGCGGTAATTTCGGGAGTCAATGTATCCCTACCATACTTAATGACATTTTTAACTTCCTTATATGATTCAGGCATAGAGTTAAGCAAGATTATAGCCTTGTAGGTTTCAGATACGGTTTCTTCACAGTTAATAATATCTTGGACAAGTTTATTGAAAACATCTAAATTGTCATCAAGATCCTTTGAATGATCCATTTTAAAACTGAAGAAACGCTCAAGAAGATAAAGTTTATTGGGAGTGGATTTAAGCAAATATAGATCTTCCAACTTTTTCCAAAGATTTTTTGTGATTTTCAATTTTCCTACTTTTCTCAAAACACCGTCAGACAGATATAAAATGATTGAGGTATAAGCAAGCTTATCGGCTTCTTCTTTTTGTTCTTTTGAAAAATTAGCTGGAAAATTGTTTCAATGGCTTTTGAAACCTTTTGTTGGACTAAAATACCCTTCATTTTTTGTTGCTAGATTGAAAAATCACCTTTTCCATTGAAAATACCAACTTCGAAATGTGAAGACATTTTTGAAAAACGAAGCAATCAATTAAGCAAATAGATCACACAAAGTAATCATACGGCTGCAATATACACCGTTCTAGTTACCCAGGGTTTCGTAAGACTCGCGGTCTTAGATCAAGGGAATGTTCGAACGGGTAAGGTCTAGGTATTCTAACAAAAGTAACAACACAGCGGAGTTTACGATGCAACAAAATGGGTATATCCAATCAAACGAAATTTTACGACAATTTTAGCACAAAGTACAATACGCTAATTTATCCAAAAATAAGTACTCAATTGCAACAATTAAGAGCAAGTAATCCTAATTTCTAGCACAAACAATGGCTGCCAAGTAATGACAACTCCCAACCTATTGTCACCCCATACGGTGACGCGCTAATGTTGAAATTAACGGGTTAAGCCAAATTACCAGAGCTGACGTGTCTGAGTCCGTATAATCGAGTGAGATGCCAATATACTGCTTTAGGACCACCATTATTTGTCCTAAAGATTTAGCAAATATAACCGTGCAGCCCGCCAAGAAATGCAGTTCGATTTTCGGGGGTAAAATCGTCCAACTTTTTCTGTGTAACCTGAAACAGAAAACTTTCAACGCGAAAAATGTTAGAAATAATGTGAGGAACAAACTGCCTGAAGAAAGCTTCCCCAGAATTGGCCCCACGCGCCCACATGCGCCATCATCGGAGAAGCCACGTGCCGCTGCCGGAATCACGCGCCATACAACCAGCATCGCCTCCACCTGCACGTCTCAACCTTGGCCTCCGTTTCACCAAAAGATGTCAGGATCGCCGAAAAATTGTGTTTGTAGGTGCGATTTTTTGGTGAAAAATTGGGCAATCCGATTTCTTTGTTTTCTGTCGGTTTCTGGTCGGATTTTGGCCGAAAATTCTACCCCAACCTTGCTCTGATACCAAATGTTGAATAATCGACCTCCGATGGTAGATTTTTCGTGCTAGTTGAACCAATTTCAACCTTATTAAACACACCCAACAATGGCTCCAACCCAAACAACTATTCTTACTTCGGTTGCTCAACTCAATATGTTCACAAAGAACACAATATGGTGGCTGCAATGAATCACCAAGAATAGAAGAAGACAGATTCAATTTTAAGGCTCAAGAGAGAAAACTAGAGGAAAATATTGGCTGCCTCTTTTCAATTGCACACACACAGCTCATTCAACAAATGAGAGCAATATATAGGTTTAGAGTGTAATAATATAGTGGGCTCATGGACCAACTAATGGTTAAAGGGGGCGAAACACAAATTGAGTCATCCAAGAAGTAAATGGGTCGTGAGCAACATTAACTATATTAAATTGCTTCAAATGACCCACAAGTTGTTTTTCGGGTTGAGCCAATTAATCGAATGTGTTAATAAATATTTCAATCATCGGCCGAAGCCTATGAAATCTAATCCGACACTGTTTAACATTATCGCCTGGGATTATTGGGTATCAAAAACCCAACAGTATGGAAGACATAATTAACCAACACATGTCCCAAATCTTAAATTGCAAATTTCACATAAAACTAAAACTGAAATAATGCTAAAAATAAAAGTCCACAGTCATGTTACTCCGAATTTATTTATTTTAAATTCCATAATTTCTGGTTTCATGATTCCATCACATTGCCCGCCAACTGACGACCCATTCTAATTTGTGAGAGTGGGAAAAATGGTGAATACATGAGAATACTTAGTATGACATATAAAAATTAATGGTGCAATCCCAAGTAAAAAATTTTAAATACATGTGTCAAAAATATCATATCGTCATCATATCCTTAAAAATTGGTAAGAACTCAATAAACGTTATATATTTAGTAACGGATAGCCATAACATATATATCATATCATAAATTTAAACTTTCCTCTAAATTCTTATATAATTTTCATTTATTAAAAATTGAAATACTTTAGATGCATTAAATTATAGCGAGTGGGTTTAGTTTTCCAAATTTAGAGCATCTTCAAAAGGCTCTCTACTTATAAAGAACATCTTATGCGTAATGGAGGGCATCTTTAAATTTAGAGATTAATTTGTTTATATACTCCAACAAGCTCTTTACTTTGATTCTTTATTTTGTTTTTTCTAGTGAACGTTTAATAATTTCGCCACATATTTTATGTAAGTATAATTTTTTATATATTAATGACCAATCAACTTAAATGTAATTTGAAAATTTTAAATTGTTGAGTACTAAAATTTGTAATATATTAAATGTAATTATTGCATATAAAGAATAAATAGTGAGTTTGGCTGTCTAAAGTTGAAGAGTCAAACACACTCTCTATTTTAAAAAAGTTAAAATAGAGAATCTCTTGGAGTCTATTTTTAAGTAATTGACTCTCTAAAATAGAGAATATTTTGTATTTAAAGACTCTCTTGAATATACTCTTCCTTTCCAAATTAAAACATTAATTTAAAGAGTGTGTTTCTCATTTTTGGAAGAATGAGAATGAAAATATAATTATTACGAGTCCTATACAAGACATAGAAATTTAAATTTGGTTATTTGATATGATGGATAACGGTCATATTTATCATTTTAATAAGAAAATAATGGGAACCAAATAGGGGTTTGAAGTATAATTTTAAAAGTTGACTCTTTAAAAGAAAATGCATCTTGTATTTACTACAAGTCATTCTAACAAACTCTTAAAAATAGTTGCTCTAACATGTAGGTCTAGGAAATTACAAATGCAAACGCTATTGATAACTATTTATCAAATGAGAAATGATGTTTGTTCAGACTCAAAGATAGGAAAAAATATGTTGATTTGGCAACAGATGATTGAGTTTTTGTTGTTTTTATTTTTCAAACAGTCCAATCATATGTTAGCACGAATGCACTCTATTTTTGAGGTTGTTTGTATAACACATTTGTCATCGGGTAATGCAACTTATCTCGGGCCTATATGGCCCGGATTTCATGTCCCCCTAGTGGCAAGGGTCCCCCGGGAAATCCCGGGCCAATCTAGCCCGGCCCTTTGTTGTCAAACATGATTGCTATTTATCATAATCATTTTAGAAACCAAAATGAACTCATTTTCCCCAAAATATGGCCGCTTGCTGTCTTCCCTTACCTCCAAGCATTAAACTCCAGAGGCAGCACCAGCCTTCTTCTTCTTCTTCACTAATTTATTGCCACCTCTCTCTACAATCGTCAAACTTCAAGCCCCGTTCTTTGTGTGGCCGCTGCCGTGCCACCAGTCCTGGGCCGCCGTCACCGCCGCCGGAATCTGGTCCCAATTCCAAGAAACCTCCAGCTCCGTCTTCAGGTCCCTTTTTTTCGTAATACATATTTCACTCTTGGGATTAAACTTGACTATGCTCTTTAATTTCCTTGTTGTCGTAATGAAATTGTATAGCATAGTTATTAATTATTATATGGAATAGCTGTTTATTCATTTCTGAGTAGTTGAATAAGACCATCTCCAGCGAAGCACCATTTTGCCATTTTCCCCCAAATTGCACCAAATATTTGCTGCGAATCTACTCCAAAGTATTGCACCATTTTGGTGCAAAATGGCGTAAATGAATAGTGTTGCACCATTTTGCTCCAAATTGGTTAAATACAATTTTGCTTCTCTTTCAGTTTGCAAAAAATTGGTTGAAGGTATTTGTGTCCATTTTTTATTATACACTTTTACAATACAGTAAATTATTATTATTATTATTATTTTTGTTGTTGTTGTTGTTATGTGGACTTGTAATAAATTTTAATACCATAATAAATAATAATTAAGAAATGAATTAAATTAAAAATACTCAAAACACAAATTTCTTATTTTCTTATTTGTTGTATTTCTATTAATTGGACTACATTTTTTAAATTTATTAATGAATTCAATATTTTCGTTAATTTAATGTAATTATTTATTTAATAAGTTATGTAGTTGTAAAATAAATAAATAAATAATCTTTCAAATAAATAAATTGCAAAGAATCAAAAAATGAATAAAATGATTCAACATTGTTCATTTGTTGTAAGTTTTGGTGTAACGGGTTGTAGATGATTTTCAGTTTGGTGCAAAATGGTGCAAAACTTACCTCAAATTTTGGCGCAGAGTTAGAGATGGCCTAAGTGTGAGCTTAGTTCTCTCAAATTACCAATTTTCATGATTTCCTGGAGCAAGAAATTTTTTTTACTTAGATTCAATTTGACTGTTGGAAGTAAAGGAATTTGAGTTTGATCCCATTCCAGTATAATAAAAATAAAGTAAAACCTATTCCAACTAGATTACAGTCAAGCCACAAAAGTGCAAACATAATGGTTTTTGAAATTTATAAGAAAATTTGGCGAATAGAGGCCCCATATGCTTCCACATTGAGATACAGTCTATCTTGTATTTAAATTAATCTTGTGAATATTCATATTGATGACATCCTAGAACTGTATTCTAGTGTAGATGTTGTTTTTGGTCTGACTGTAATCAAATTGTTATTGCTAAACATTTCTTTCAGACTTATAAGCAGCCTGTGGACAGTATTCTTCCTAGGAGATACATTGAATCTTGATTTTGAATAAATCACATGAAATATAGTTATGATATCTGAGGACAGTAATAGCTATTAACTATTCTAAGTGTTGTTTTGGTCATGATTGTGATTCGAATTAGTGTTGTTGTCTTGTCATCTTGTGTCGACTGTCCCTGATTTCCTTCCTCTTCTGGCAAAAGTGAACATTTAGATAAATAATTGAATGTGGAAGCTAAATTAAATTTCAAAGTGTAACATTAATTAGTAATTTCGAAGAGTAACATTCTAAATAAGGTAGTACGTCTAGGTTCCAAATGCCAAAAATATAAATTTAAAATTTGTGGCTTAGTCATTTTAACATCATAACCATCACTATATGTTCGTGTCTTAATGATATACCGTCTGATCCATCATTCTCCTGTTGTTTTTAATTAGATTAAGCCTCTTTATGAAATTTTATTTACATTCACCGAGTGGAATATGGTGCATGTGTGAATATGATGCATGGATGGCGTGAATGGCATAACATGTGACAACGGTAAGCATGGACATATACAATAGTGGTATACATTAATGTCATAGCATCATGATTGTCACGTCAGGAACATGCTGCAATATTGGCAAAATTATAACATTTAGCCTATGTTTGGGCTCTATTTTAATTTAATGCATTTTTCTCTTTTTTCTTTTCAACTACACATTTTTCAATAAAATAATATTCTACGTAAATCCAAAATATTTTTTCTTTTTAAACCATATATTCTCCAAAAAAAATCACTATTCCAAGATACATTTTTTCCTAAAAACTAATTTTAATGGAGCCCAAACAGGGGCTTATACTTCTCATCAAATTATATATATCTATATAGGGTTGTGATTGGTGTACATTATGGACACCATAATGATGTCCATAATGCACACCAATCATTATTCATCTATATATGTTGTCTGGTGCATGGCATGAAATGTGCTAAATAAGCAAATGAGATCACTATTCTAAAAATATTTCATATCATAAAATCATAATTTATAATTAGCAATATAATTTCGATAGTTCATATTATAGTTACATATCCCACTTGCTTGGATGAAGTGTGAATTCACAAAGATGATAACATTCTCGTTATCATGGTGAGTATAGTGTTATTGAAATGTGTGTGAATTGCTAAAGTAATTTTGAGAAACTGTCTTTAATCCTCAATATCACTACTGTTGACAATCTTCACTTCCTTCTTTAATTCGCCATCAATTCAATATCATTTAAAAGGCTTGAAGATTTACTTTTTCCATGATTTAATATACAGAAAAATAGATTCTTGTCTTATGTTCTGTTCCAACAAGGTATCTGAAATTTCTACAATCTAGAGATTTTTTTAGCTTCTTTTTTCCCTTCATTTCTTTCAGTATGCAGCATGTCCAAAATTTGTCTAGACTGTTCATCTGAGAATACCACTGAAGCATCTAAAAGGCCTTTTGAATGGTCACAATAATTTAATATGTTTATAAGAAAATGGTAAATCTAATTACATCAGCGGCCTAACCACAATACCTAGAGGAAGAATGTCACTTTCCAACTGTGGTATGTTTAGAATACCACTATCATAGCTTGACTTTAATTCCATGGAGTTGGAAATAGGTCAGACTTAAAATTTCTCTCAAAGGCAAAGAAACTCTAGATGATGTTGCAGAAACTCTTTTGAGTTATGCAATTTTGGTCAGGCTTATGAGATTAAGTAAATAATTTGTGAATCAAAATTTAAGATGGGGTCGTTAGAATCTTATGAGGTATTACAGTATTTTGAAGGGTTTCCGGCAAGTATCAGATCAATATTCTTATTTTCATTAGGTGAACATGAGGTGACTCGCCACACTACGACATCTATCTTGCCTTACATGGCTTTCCACCCAAACTTTGATATGTAGCTCAACCTGCTCACTGGTCTTTCTTAACATCTTCAAGCTTATGGTCCTATTCAATTGGTGTATCAATAGGCTTGCTACCGCTAGCGTCTCATTTTCCTCGAGGAGATCAAGAACATATTTATGATGTGATCTAAAGATACTAATTTCTGAGTGAAATACTTCAACACTTAACGAATACTCAAGTTTCCCGAGGTCTTCATCTCACATTTTTTGGTCAATTTTTTTTTTTTTCTGCCATTCTATCTGACCACGGTAGCGAAAAAATTTGACAACGAACAATTAGAAGAGAAGGGGATCTAAAAAGAAGAATAATTAAGGCTAAAGAAAAATCAATTTATCATTCAATGGTGCATAATACAATCAATAAACCATTTTTATATTGAGCAACTAATCTAAAATCAAAAGAACTTCTATTGAACTAGAACTTTATCAATAAATTAAAATTAATCTAATCATCTAAACCTTTAATAATTCGAATGAAACTCTGTTTTATCTAAACCATATTCCTATCCTTATCTTTATTCCCATCACTATCTCTTGAAAATTATTCAGTCACAACTATGTAATCCACGTAAACGATCAAGGTTGTAATCTTCTCACAAGTTAAAGGCTTGATGAGGAGGGTAATCTCCGGGCTTTGTCATTATTTCATTTTGCATGCCCATGTTAATCCTGCTGAACCATGCTTTGGGAGATTGCTTGAACCCAAAAGAGTGCCTTATTGAGTCTACATTCACTGCTTTTGTTAAACCATTAAATTCTGGCGCTTCCATGTAGACTTCGTGTTCTTGACATTGAATTTTTTTAGTGACAGACTAAGATTACCTGCCAAAGATAATGAATACGAACAGTAATCATCTTTGCTATGGGTGCGAAGGTTTCTTAATAATACACCAGTCGTGCCTTTTGTTTATCTAAAATTCTCCGTCTTTTTACTTATTAATAAACATGGATCTACAACCTATGGTCCTTTTTCCAATGGGAAGGTTTACAACCTCTCATGTATGATTATTTTCAAGTGGTTTTATTTCCTTACTGGTGGCATTCTCCAATTCTGATCTCTAAGTGACTCCTGGACCATTTTTCAAATTTCATGGTATTTAAGTGAAAAAGCATTGTATGAAGGTCAAAACCTGTCTAATGAAATGAAATTAGACATCAGATTTTAGGTTTATGTTCTTTTTGGAAAGAACAACTATTCATCTAAGTTTTCAAATACCTGTTACAAGATAAGATTATTGGCCTCCATAGGATTAGGGGGATGATATCTTCTTCTTGAGTAAACTCGTGAAGGCTGAACAAATGGACTACCAAGCCTCTGCCATTACATATCTGGAGGATTCAAAGGCATTGAAGAAATGCTACCTGTAATTGTAGGTGTGGTGGGGTCAGGGTGTGAAAATGAAGTCTATCTTCTACGAAAGGCTCTTCTCTCTACTGATTCAGTAAAGTAGGACGTGCTTTTAACAAATGTAGACATCCATCGACGTATAAAACTTCGTAGAGGTTGGGTGGTAGCATTTATAACCCTTCTTTGTTGAAGAACAAACGATATAAACACATTTGAGAGCTTTAGGATCATATTTACTGCAATGTTGAGCACGAATATCAACAAATGAAATGCGTTCGAAAATTTTGGAGGGATTCAACAAAAATCATTAAAATTTGGAAGGAAAATAAATAAATAAATAAATAATAATTGAAGCTTTGTGGTTTAAAACTCTAGAAGCCTGAGCGATCAAATTGTTCGCAATTAGCACGGCTCCTCTCCAATACGATTTTGATACATTATTTTGAACTATAATGCCTGATGACTTCTAGAAAGTGCCCATATTTTCATTATTATTTTGTGGAGAATACAAGAAATTTGATGGATAATTCCCTTTTCTTGGAAATATGGTGTTAGGATTTGTTTAGGAAACTCTCTTTCATTGTCAGGTGGAACTTTTTGTTGGTCATGATCTTGTCCTTAATATTATAAATTTGGATAGCATTTTGGACTAGATTATGTTGTATAGTTTCCCAAATTTTCTTTGCTGTGGGCAATAACATAAATGTGCCATTGATTCTAAGTTGCATCGAGTACCTAAATCATGGCACGATCATGGGGTTACAGCACCTGCTCATGTACAACAAGATTCGGATATGATCACAGAAAGAATCTCTTCAAGTGTACCCACCTATCTTGTGTGTATAGGGCTTACGCGAGGGTTCGAATCAAGACTCAATTGGTTATGAATTCCACTGTGGCAAACATAATCTACACAGACCAAACAATAGTTCAATTCACATCCCAAACATTGAAATTAGGTGTAACCGCAGCTTGGCTTTGGTCCTATCAAATGTTTCGTTGTCACTTTTAATCTCGAGAAGGTTGTGATCAGTTGAGACTAGACAAGATAATTTCTATTTTTTCATCACCAAGAGGTCTCAAGATTTTGATATTTGAGGATGGCTGGATAGTCATGGTGTGGGTAGTTATACTTTAAAGATTTTTAAATTATTATTATCCATATTATAAGAATAGTAATTAGAACAATAGGACATTTTAAGGTTCTTTCTTGCTGGCTATGGGGCCAATTGTAGAACACTTTTTAGGGCCAAGAAAGAAACAGAAAGTATATTTCAGAAATTAAAAAGAGCCCCGGCCCTGATAAGATAAAGCCCAATATAGTTTCTCTCTTATTCGGAATAGACAAGATTTATAGTTAGCTTGGGTCAGACTTACAAAAATAGAAACCCTACCAAATCAGAATACTACAGAATCAATCAAGTTTATTAAGATAAAATTGTTGACTCCTTACTCTGTAGGGATTCCTTATGATTGCCAACGGTATATTTGATTTTCAATTGAGTTACAAACCTTTCGTTATTATACTTGTAAAACCTTAATAATCTTTCATTATTATACTTGGTAAAAAGCTAACTTGGTTAATTAAAAGGGATTACCTCAAATCCAAAGGGATTTCTTCCAATGATGCCACATTTGAGCTCAGGATTTCAATGACAATGCAGCATAGACTTTAGACTAGGCTTCTCATGATGTAGAAACTATTTAGTAATGTAATTCTTAGGCACATGGACTGCGTAATGAATGTTTTGAAGGCACATATTTGCCTTCCCATTTGACTTGCTTGAATGCAGTGTGATTGTAAACTCCTGGAGGCTTAAGTGAAACAAAAAGTTATCTTTGGCTCATGCCCTTGAGAGTTGGACCAAGGATGCCTTTTGACAAAGGCCAGATTCTCATGTAAACTTTATTGTGAGACTCTCATCCCCATTTCAGAACAAAAAAACTGCTTGACATCATAAATTTTCAGCATGTAAACTGGTTAATCAAGGTAAAATAATCCTGCCTCTGTGCATCAGATGAATCATGGGCCAGTTTTCTTAGTTCCCCCATTGATTTGAGATGCGTGCTTGATGGACTTTATTGTAAGGCCCTTTAATCCCATTGAAATAACAGGACAAGATCTTTTTGGCAAATGCAAAATTGCTCAGAGTCAACTGTTCTTCGATATTTATATTGCGTTCTCATGGAATTCAAAAAAACTTGTTATGTAGTTGTCATATGGCTTTCCACTTGATGATGGTTTTTCATTTTTTGGTTACTCATGTTGTTGTATTTTAAAATCTGTCAACAGAATGTTGACGTTAATTTAGCGACAGAAGTTTTGAAAAATTTCACTGAAAACTCAAAGTGAACTGCAAAACAGAGGGACAGTGTATCTCCCGGGGACACTAGTTTGGTTAATTCAGTAGACTAAAATTTATACAGATATAGTTGACTGGAGAATTAGGGGCTTGTAGCTGTTTTATATAATTTTAGCATACCTAAAGATCTTTTGGATGCTCTATTTATACTTATAATGGGTCCTCTTTGCTAGAGTTTGGACTGGACTGAGTCTTATTTGGACTAGATTTGTCTCATGATGAGGATGAGAAGTTTTTATTCTCTTATCCATGCTCATGGTTTATCTTCATATTTGAATAAGTCATTAATCCAAACCTGATGCTGCCACTTCCAGAGTGCAGAGTGGCAATTTGAAATAATTTTTGGTTTTAATAACCGTGGCACAAATTGAATTTTATGAGTCTTGACTTATTACTGGGCCAATATTTTGACAGCTCATGATCATTGAAACCCCCCTTGCTAGTTTGACAGCACATGATCATTGATAACCCCCTTGCTTCCTGTCAGTTCATAAAATGCAGTTATGCAGACATTACTCTTAGGGTACTTGGTGTGTCTCACACTTTATATATGTTTTGCTTTCTTCGTCTTACTTCTTTATATCAATTGTGTACATCCCCATGCAATTTTTAATGGTGTGGCATGTGATATATGGACAGGTGTTGCTGCAAGTTTCACCAGATTTCAGGATACTGTGCAGATCTTTTTTGCTGTTCTATTCTGGATGTCTCTTTTCTTCTGGTCTTCTGCATGGGGTGGGAAAGATAACGGCAGATCAAACAAAGGACCTCGATTTAGAAAATAATTCTGTAAGCTCTCATACTGTATATACCGATAGAAGCTAGAAATATCAAGAAGATCAAGTGATTTTAATGGTCACAAGAGATTACATTTTATATTAGTGAATAAACTGGTTTGGAAATCCACCTGACTGTTCATTTGCCTATCTAATCTTTATTTTCGATTTGGTGCCAATAAAATTTAATTGTCATTTAACTCATCCTTAAAGTACTGTTCGCTTTGCTGTAAGTTGAGACCTTTTCAGATGTATTGGCCTATTGTGATACACAGTGCGCAACTGTTGGTGGTATAAATGGGTTGAGTGGTGTCAAGTGGTCATGCACTAGATACATGTTATCATAAGCTTCCCATGTTTGATATATGACTAGAATTTCATTTACTCTGCTTCTTGTTATTGACAAGGATATAGAGCAGCTCCTGGGGGTGTTTTAGTTTGCTTAGACTGTATGCTAGATGTCTATTTAGCAGGGTAAATTTTATCTGTTGTCACTGAGCTTTTAGCGAATTTTGAGTTGAGTCACTAGATTAAATGTCTCAATTGGGTCACCAAACTTCAATTTAGTTTCAAATTTCACTGCTCCATCATATTATTTAACATGTTATTCCTCCAAACTAACGGATTTTGCTTATTTGGGAGCCAAACAGTAATAGGTGATTACTGTGCTATATTTGGATTGCCTTAATTTTCCAACATTTGCCTCATTGTTTTGTGAACAAATGATAAATAGTGAAAATCAAAGAGCTAATGTTGTTTGGCTAGGCATGCTTCGGATTTTAACACTTTCTTGACATGGCAGAGTGGTGATTGGTGAGTTGGCATGCTACCGAACAATTACTTTATATGTGGCTTAGGAGCCAAATAAGCACTATCAGTTAATTTGGTGGATGCGCTATGATACATGACAAAGTGGTGGAATTTGAAACTGAATCGAATTAGAGATTTTAGTGAAAGTTGAGCAACTACATATTATTTCACACACGGAGGGTAATCTTGAATTATTACGATTTATCCTCATAATATCTATCTGCACTTAAAAAAAATGTCATATAGGAATGCACCATTTCTTTATTTTTCCTGATTTTTTCGAGCATAATAATACAGTACTTTTAAGTTTTAACATGACACATCATATGGATTCAAATGAATGGAGACCATATTTTACATAGAAAAGTTGCATATCATTTGTTGTATTACTGAATTATTGATGGACCCAGTTAGGAAAATGCTACACTTTATATATGCAAGTATTAGCATCAACAATGGCACATGTTTATGTGAAGTTGACCATCTTGGAATTGTTCCATAGTACAGTTTCTAGTATAGGCTTATTGGTGGAGAAACTGGGAGAATTGAGTTATCGAGCTGGTTGCGGTGGGTCACTTTATAATTTAGAGAACACCTATAAATTTAGCAAGTAAAACTTTATAAGTACTCCAAAAGACTCTTTACTTAATACTCACAAAAAATATTTATTGTTTTCCTATCTTTTATTTTCACTAGCTTCCTTTTAAATTATTATATTATTTTCCTCCATTGAAAATTTAAATATTTTGAATGCATTTACTCATAGAGAGTGGGTTTGATTGGCCAAGTTTGAATATGTTAAAATTTTAATTTAAATGGTCTCTTGGAGCATAATTTAAGGGCCGATTCTTTAGAATAGAGAACATCTTATATTTAAAGTCTCTTGAAAATAATCTTATTGGACCATGAAATTTCGAGACGAGAAATGTTATTTCTGTAAATTTGACAAGATGGGGGTGTTTTGAAAATGAGATGGGATTTTAACTTTTGTTTAGGTTCTTGATTAGGAGTTGAAAATTTGGTTTTATTCTACACCGTTAACACAACAATTCTTAATAAAAATCAAGACTATTATCATTTGCTAATACATTATTTTAAAGATGATGTCACTTAAATTGTTGTGTATTGACGTCTTCTTATTTGTCAATAAGAAATGATGGACCAAGAAATCGCAAAATTAGCGAAAGCGCTTATTCGAATTACAGTTTCTAGTATAGGCTTATTGGTGGAGAAACTGAGAGAATTGAGTTATCGAGCTGGTTGCGGTGGGTCACTTTATAATTTAGAGAACACCTATAAATTTAGCAAGTAAAACTTTAAAAGTACTCCAAAAGACTCTTTACTTAATACTCACAAAAAATATTTATTGTTTTCCTATCTTTTATTTTCACTAGCTTTCTTTTAAATTATTATATTATTTTCCTCCATTGAAAATTTAAATATTTTGAATGCATTTACTCATAGAGAGTGGGTTTGATTGCCCAAGTTTGAAGAGTCGGACTCAATTTCTATGTTAAAATTTTAATTTAAATGGTCTCTTGAAGCATAATTTAAGGGCCAACTCTTTAGAATAGAGAACATCTTATATTTAAAGTCTCTTGAAAATAATCTTATTGGACCATGAAATTTCAAGACGAGAAATGTTATTTCTGTAAATTTGACAAGATGGGGGTGTTTTGAAAATGAGATGGGATTTTAACTTTTGTTTTGGTTCTTGATTAGGAGTTGAAAATTTGGTTTTATTCTACACCGTTAACACAACAATTCTTAATAAAAATCAAGACTATTATCATTTCCTAATACATTATTTAAAGATGATGTCACTTAAATTGTTGTGTATTGACGTCTTCTTATTTATTAATAAAAAATGATGGACCGAGAAATCGCAAAATTAGCGAAAGCACTTATTCGAATTGATTTTTCCCCCTTTCTATTTGATAGTTAGACTTTACTTATCCAAGTTTTTAAAATTTTCCGACGCATGTAGAACCCAAAACAAGAGTTGAGTTGTTACATATAGTGAAATAGAATTGGGGTCTTAAAGAAAATCGGACTTTGTATTAGTCGTTATTTTGTTGGTGCGTATAAAATTTATTAGAATATAATTATATACTAATTTTTAATAAAGCTTCGTATATTAAACGCAAGTTCACTCGATCGGTCTATAATATAAGTATTGTCATTAAAGATAGTAATAATTGATAATGATTGAACTAAAGAAGTAGTAAATCAGGGGAGAAAACCCAATCTTGTGGGGGCCAAAAGTCATTTTCCACCAGCACCGTCGTGTCGCAAATCTGTTGGTCGCCTTCAATATGAAACTACCAATCATTTTGAAGTTCAAAGTAACATTATTTTTCTATATCACTTGGTCTCACATGAAATCTACATAATTTATAATAAACAAGAAATGGTTTTTAACTTTGTTTAATTTATTGAAAATATCTAAATAATTTGATATTTGTGTAAAAAAATGTACCTTTAAAAGAATTGATTTAATTTTTTGTTTTCTAAAAAATCTAACATTTTTTAAAATTGTAAAGCAATCGATATATCTCGCTCTCTATATTAATGTCTATATATGTAATTTCTCCTCTCCATTTTTCCATATATTCTTTTGGAATAATATTGCATGAATTATATACTCCGTTGATTAAAAATATGTGCATGACTTATTTGCTATTTAACATGCAAATTATCGGATAGTATTTTGATTTATCAAAATCAAGATACGGGCATGAAAAATAAGCTAAACAGCAAATTATATATATTTAAGAAAAATGTAGAAATTAGGAGGAGGGAAAATGAAGCGAGCTATGAGATTGTAAATCTCTTTAAAACATATTTTGCTCTCTACACTAGTGCGAACATGTATAAACGAATGTCTATCTCCTAAGATATAATGATTTTTTTGTCAAAATTAATTTAACGCAATATTAATTTTTTGGACGAAATGAAATTTGACTATAATCTTGTAGACCAGATGATATTGAGTACTAAAATATCAAACAGAACTCGAAGATAATTTGATAATTATTTAGATAGAATTTGGAGAAAGAATGAATTAGAAATCAATTTTTTGAAATTGAGCTGGAGTAAAGAAAGTGGAATTAAAAGGACCCAATTTATACATTTAGATATCCTCCCCCCCCCCCCCCCCCCCCCCCCAAACCCCAACT